CTCTGGGACGCTTTAAATGTTAAGTGGGTGGGGTGGTTTGACTGGCTACCATACCTACGACACCTGATTTTGTACTATAAATACTCCTCTCACCCTACATTAAGACTACAAATATTTTAAGGTAAGTAATGAGTGTACTATATGTGTATTTTACTGTTTCATTGTTTTTTAACCCTTTCAGGGTCCGTGTCGTAGATCTACGGCTTTACATTCAGGGTCCAAACCGTAGATCTATGCCATGAGCTCAGCTCACTCTGAAAAGCTGTGAGTGGTAAATTTGTGCCTAGATATGAGAGAATACATCTATGTGGTATGTGTGCACCACATAAAACAAATCCTGCAGCACAAAGTGTATAATGAGAGAAAAACTGAGTCTGTGATTTTCGATTAATAACCCTTTCAGGGTTTCGGCCGTACTAGTACAGCTTACACGCAGGGGTTTTTGACGTACTAGTACACATAAATTCTGTAAAGTAAAAGGACACAAGTGCAACTGATGTGACATTTTATTGTGGCAATGTTTCACTCTCCAGGAGCTTTGTCAAGCCTATCGGCTTGACAAAGCTCCTGGAGAGCGAAACGTTGCCACAATAAAATGTCACATAAGTTGCACTTGTGTCCTTTTACTTTACATATTGTCGGTAATTCTACCAACATTATTACACGCATAAATTCTAGCGCCGTCAAATCTAGTGAGAGAAAGCTGGTAGGCCTACATATGAAAGAATGGGTCTATGTGGTCAGTGTGCACAGTATAAAAGAAATCCTGCAGCACACAGTGCGTAATGAGAAAAAAAACTTTGATCGTGTTTTTGGAGTAAAACAACGAATCTGCACTATATTTTTGTATGGTATTTATTGTTGTATTCTAGTTTTCCTGGTCTCATTTTATAGAATGGAAGACATATTACAGAAATTGAGATGATTTTGACTGATTTTACAATGAAAAGTACCTTGAAATTGAGCTCAGAGTAGCAGAAATGTTTGATTTTTACCAAAGATCAAAAGTAAACAAATCATGCCAAGTGTCCAATACACATCAACTGGTGAGTCTAATATTCTTTCACAAGTGCACTGATATTATTTATACCATTTCTACACTAATGCAGTAGTCTGCATAAAAGTAAATCTTCTATTTTGTTTTTTGTGAGAATAAAAATTCAAAGTGGAAAGCAAAAGAACGTAAGAGGGGTGTGGGAATGTGACTAATGAACAGAGGAAATGTTATTTTAGTGCCAGGAATGTCTTTCTTGTTTATTCTGGACTCTATTCAGAAATTGACATCTTTTGAAATTTGTGTGAAATTGGCAAAATTGCTAAATTCTGACCACTGAATTGGATAGTTGAAATCGGTAAATGAGTGGTTTCTTGTACTCATTCGATAGAAAAAATGGAGTTCTAGCGAAATAGTTATGATTTTTGTTGACTAGTACACTGGAATTGGCCGAAAATAGGGCCCAAAGTGGGCAAAATCACCAATGCGTAAACATCGTCGAGACCGCTAACTTCGCGAGACCATATTTCCGTAAGGTTTCCATCAAATTTCATACTTTTGGTGTCATTATGATTGGAAAAAGATTCTCTATCTTTTCAGAAGAAAAAATAATTTTTTTTTTTTTAAATTTAGCCGACCCTGAGAACAAGTCTCTGACAGGACTTGCCGACCCCCAAAGGGTTAAAACAGCGATTTTGCAGTGTTTTTTCGTATGTTTTTATAGTTGTATTTGCGATTTCTTGGTCTCATTTGATAGAATGGAAGACATATTACAAAAATAGAGATGATTTTGATTGGTTTTAGCACTGGAAATGACTTGAAACTGAGCTCAAAATAGAGAAAATGTTAAATTTTTGCCGATGTTCAAGAGTAAACAAACAACCTCACACGTCTAATACATGCCGGCTGGTGGGTCTGATATACATTCACAAATGTGGTGATGATATTTATACAATTATTACCATATTGCATAAGAGTAAATCTTCTATTTTTTTGGTTTGAATAAATATTCATTATGTGAATAAAAAATCAAAATGGAATTCATTTGTAAAGCCTGAAAACATAACTAATGAACAGAGGAAATGTTAGCGCCAGGAATACCTACATTGCTTATTCTGGACCCTATTTTGAAATTGGAATATTTTGAACTTTGTGTTAAATTGGCCAAATTGCCAATTTCCAGTCACTTTATTTTGTAGTTGAAACAGTTGACTTTGCGATTTCTTGTGCTCAATCGATAGAATTGAAGTAATACTAGTGAAATAGCTAAGAATTTGGCCAACTGGAATAATGTAATTGTCTTAAAATGAGAGTCAAAGTCGGCAAAATCGCGATTTATAAATATCGCTGACACCTCAAAATTCGTGGAGATAATTCATCGTTTTCATCAAATTTCGAATTTTTATTTTATTTTCTTCAGAAAAAGATTTTCTGCATTTCATAAGAAAAAAATAGCAAAATCTTTTTTGGGAAAATTTTTGGACCCCTGGTTCGTGAACTTTGAAATTTGGCCTCTGGACCTGTAGGGTTAATGCCTAAATTTTATTGAACTTAATAATGTTAGTGAAAAACTTGTTATCTAGTATTTTTATGCATTTGTCATGGAAAAAGAAGAGTGTTCAACTTTATGGCAATTTCCACTTTACGCAGCAGCCTGGGAACATAACCTGCCTTTTAAATGGCCCTTCTATATTTAACTCTTAACTTGTCAATGTAGAATCTACATTTTTAACTGCTAGTGCACCAAACATAGATCTACATTTTATTTTTCCTGCCTCCAATTGGGCAGAATTTGCCTGAGCTGCCTGGTCATATAGAATGGGTCTTAGCACTCGCGTGCACGAGTATTAAAAAAAACTGGACCTTTAAGTACCTGTGGCAAATAGCATGGCAAACGCCAAGATTCACTGATATTCATGTCCATGTAACACGCCCCTTATAAGAGGATAGCGAATGATTGGCCACAAGTGTCGAGGATATATCAAAAAAAACTCGATAATAACCCATGTGTAACATTTGTGCAACATCCTTTCACTTTTTATACCACTGGCCATCTCTGTCTGTATCTGTCTGTTTCTCTGTCTATATCTTTATCTGTCTATATCTCTGTCTATATCACTGTCTGTATCTCTGTCTGTGTCTAAGCTCTGTCTCTCTCAACATGTACACATAAGTACTGTTATAGATACATAGTGGTAACTTACCAAATATAACCCAAAAATTCCAGGTGAAGTGGTATACAGTGCTTGTAGATAAGACATAAACATGACTTGCAACTCAGGGGCAACTAATATGCATTTTCACTTCATCAAGAATCAGACGTGGCTACTGCATCATGTGTAATACCTGTTGGTTTATGAGGCTCTACTAAGACTGATAGACAAGCCAGATAGAAAGACAACACACACACATAGGCAGAACAGAAAGACAGATATACAGGCAGATAAATGACCACCGAGACTCAAAGGCAGACAAAAACACTGAGACTCACAGACAGACAGAAAAACAGATATGCAGAGCTAGACAGACATACTTGTTTGTGTGTAACAATGAAAACAAAGCCAGGGTTCCCTGCAGCAGTGTACTATCATTGTGTCACTCCACTACTTACCCTGTCAGTAGTTTAGTGACACTTGTCATAAACACCATGCTTCAAGAAGTTTCGCATATACTCCAGCATGTCTAAGACATTGCTGTGACCTATAAATACTTTGTATATATTTCTAGACAATAGTATATGACCAAGGCAGGTGAAAATGTACACCTGTCAGTGTGATTGTGACTATTTGAGTACTATTTCAGTACCTAATATTAGTGTCAGAACCAAGATTGGCTATGAAGTCACAAGAACTCTTATAAAGTGTAATTATCAAAACATAAAAATTATATAAATCAAAATAAAAACGAGAAAAATGGTATATCGGCAACACTTCTGCAAGCGGTAGGACTCCATGTTGCTGTCAGATGAGCATCCAGCGCCAACTTTATGGTCTTACATCTCGGTAAGTACTGATCCTATAATTTTTTTTTTTTTTGGCTTATAACACACAGAAAATTGCCCTCTTTAATTTAAAAAAAAAAAATTCAAATATTCAGAGCGCTGGCAGTGGAAAACGTAGAGTTACGTTTGGTCATTTAAAGGTTAAAATGACAATTATATTTAGGTGAAACATTGATAACAGAGAAAAACCAAAAAATTGTTTTAGTTCAATATGTTGAGTTGGTAATGGTGGAATATAATACGTAAACTGACTCATCTTCCATTGCCAGAAGTATTTTGGGAAGACTACCAGGTTGTATCTTCCCAGGCACTACATCTTCAGTATTTCGAGAAGCCCCCATTGTTAAATGTTTTGAACAACAACTGAATATTGCAAGAATAGTTTGTGAAGACTACCAGGTTGTATCTTCAGTAACTTCCCAGAAGGTCATCACTTGATATTCTGTGATTTTTTAACTAGCTAGTATACTAATTAAACCATTTTCTTTTAAAATTGGGATTCTATCTAACAGTTCATCGCAAGTTCAAAGAAAAATCCAAGTTAGTAATACAGTAATTAAAAATTTTAAAAAAAATGTGTGTAAAGGAGATGATGAAAATAAAATGCTGTGAGTGAATCTGCTGTGTTGTAGTACATATATTGAATCTTTAACACGCACAACAAAAATTATGCTAGTCTTTTAACACACAAAATTAAACTTTACATTACTGCGCATAAGAAGGAAAACTTTTCACTAAAAATATCATAACATGGAAATATGTTCATAAGGAAAACTGTGTTCTGTATCCAAAATAATTAAAAAAAAGATCTTGAAATACACATGAGAGTATATAAGGAAGATTTCCTATACTTTCTGTTGAATGACTAAAATATTTTAAAATGAAATACCTTCTTTGGAAAAATATGAAAAAACATAAAGAGCATAAACCATATCAGTAGCTCTGAGAGTCTAAATATTTTATCAAAAAGGCATTTGATGACACATAGCGAGTACTTACAGGAGATAAACCATTTCAATGTTCAGTGTGTGTGAAATGTTTTAGTCAAAAAGGCCATCTCGTGACACATATGCGAGTACATACAGGAGATAAACCATATCAGTGCTCCAAGTGTCTGAAATGTTTTACAGTAAAAGGCCATCTTGTGACACATATGAGAGTACATACTGGAGATAAACCATATCAATGTTCAGTGTGTCTGAAATGTTTTAGTGTAAAAGGCAGTCTTGTGACACATATGCGAGTACATACAAGAGATAAACCATATCAGTGCTCCAAGTGTCTGAAATGTTTTAGTGTAAAAGGTGCTCTTGTGAGACATACACGAGTACATACAGAAGATAAAGCATATCAGTGCCCTGAGTGTCTGAGATGTTTTACTGTAAAATACAATCTTGTGAGACATAATATGCAAGTACATACAGGAGATAAACCGTATCAGTGTTCAGTATGTACGAAAAGTTTTAGTGTAAAATGCAATCTTGTGAGACATATGCGAGTACATACAGGAGATAAACCATATCAGTGCTCTGAGTGTCTGAAATGTTTTAGTGTAAAAGGCCATCTTGCGACACATATGCAAGTACATACCGGAGATAAACCATATCAGTGTTCAGTGTGTCTGAAATGTTTTAGTGTAAAATGTGATCTTGTGAGACATATTCGAGTACACACAGGAGATAAACCATATCAGTGCTCTGAGTGTCTGAAATGTTTTAGTGTAAAAGGCCATCTTGTGACACATATGCGAAGTGCATACAGGTTATACACATAAATCATGCACCCCGAGTGGTCTTATATGTTTTAGTGTAAAAGACCATCTTGTGAAACATATGCGAGTACATACTGGAGATAAACCATATCAGTGTTCAGTGTGCCTGAAATGTTTTAGTGTAAAAGGCAGTCTTTTGACACACATGCGAGTACATACAGGAGATAAGCCATATCGGTGTTCAGTGTGCCTGAAATGTTTTAGTGTAAAAGGCAGTCTTATGAGACATATGCGAGTACATACAGGAGATAAACCATATCAATGTTCGGTTTGTCTGAAATGTTTTAATCAAAGAGGCAGTCTTGTTATACATATGCGAGTACATACAGGAGATAAACCATATCAGTGTTCAGAGTGTCTGAAATATTTTAGTCACAGAGGCAGTCTTGTGACACATATGCGAGTACATACAGGAGATAAAACATGTTAAGTATGTAATATATCAGGAATATTTTAGTTACATAGACATGAGTAGCTTTAAAAAAAAGAGATTGGACAAATATATGAGTGAGAGGGGCTGGGTTTGATTGGTGCCATTGGGTACAGGAGTAAATTCTTAGGTAGCTTTGGGTAGAGGTCATTTTGATAAGGACCTTCTTGCATGGGCCAGTAGGCCTGCAGTGTTCTTCCATTCTTATGTTCTTATACAAGGGATATACAGTGGACCCCCGCATACCGTTGGCATCACATACCGTTTATTCCGCATACCGCTCACTTTAATAGCAAAAATTTTGCCTCGCATACCGCTCAAAAACCCGCTCACCGCTGTTCGTCCGAGACGCGTCCAATGTGCGCCTTAGCCAGCCTCACATGTTCCGCCGGTGGCATTGTTTACCAGCCAGCCTCCGCGGTAGCATCCAAGCATACAATCGTAACATTTCGTATTATTACAGAGTTTTTGGTGATTTTATCTGGAAAATAAGTGACCATGGGCCCCAAGAAAGCTTCTAGTGCCAGCCCTACAGCAATAAGGGTGAGAATTACTATAGAGATGAAGAAAAAGATCATTGATAAGTATGAAAGTGGAGTGCGTGTCTCCGAGCTGGCCAGGTTGTATAATGAACCCCAATCAACCATCGCTACTATTGGTGGTACAGCTGCTACTGCTGCACTGTCAGCTGCTGCTGCTGCTGTAGCATCGTCTGCTGCTGCTGTAGCATCGTTTGCTGCTGCTGTAGCATCGTCTGCTGCTGCTGTAGCACTGTCAGCTGCTGCTGCTGCTGTAGCATCGTCTGCTGCTGCTGTAGCATCGTCTGCTGCTGCTGTAGCATTGTCTGCTGCTGCTGTAGCATCGTCTGCTGCTGCTGCTGCTGCTGTAGCACCGTCTGCTGCTGCTGTAGCATCGTCTGCTGCTGCTGTAGCATCGTCTGCTGCTGCTGTAGCACTGTTGTTGGTGTGGCTTATTGAGAATATACCAAGAAACAATTAACCCCAGAGGATTTTCCACCCAGGATAACCCAAAAAAGTCAGTGTCATCGAAGACTGTCTAACTTATTTCCATTGGGGTCCTTAATCTTGTCTCCCAGGATGCAACCCACACCAGTCGACTAACACCCAGGTGAACAGGGAAAAATGCCTGGAACTAGTGCTCATATTGGTGAATTTAAAGCCAGCAAAGGTTGGTTTGAGAGATTTAAGAATCGTAGTGACATACACAGTGTGATAAGGCCTGTTCTGGAAGAAAATGCCAAACAGGACCTACAGTACTCAGGAGGAAAAGGCACTCCCAGGACATAGTGTCTCATCAGTCATTGCTGCATCTTCAATAAAGGTAAGTGTCATTTATTCTTCATTTAGTAGACTAGTACATGCACAATATATACTGTGCATGTACTACTCTACTATTGTGCATGTATCCTTCTCTTTGTGTGTAGGAAAATGTATATTTCATGTGGTAAAAAAAATTTTTTCATACTTTTGGGTGTCTTGCACGGATTAATTTGATTTCCATTATTTCTTATGGGGAAAATTCATTCGCATACCGATTATTTCGCATACCAATGAGCCCTCTTGCACGGATTAAAATCGGTATGCGGGGGTCCACTGTACAATATCAGTGTTCAGAGTGATAAATATTTATGAAATGTCAGTCAGGTAAATCATATAAGAAGTTCATAGAGAAGATAAGTTATATTAATGTTCACAATATATTTTATATTTTATAAAATAAAAGCAGTCTCGTGTACAGAAAACAACTAATATAAAGTACAGGAGAGCCCTCCTTTACAACATTTCACTTTATGGCATTTTGCTAAAACATACATTTCAAATTATAACCAAAACTTGTTGTACGGCTCCCTGCCTGACTGGCTAATATGGTCTCCTTGTGCCACTGTTTGTTTACGTCCCCCATGAGCTCCATGTCTGTCCATTATATCTGGAAACTTTCTAGAATTTCAAGTGTTTTAAATTTATTGCATAGTTTATGAACAGTAGGGGCCCCACTTATATGGTAGGTTAGGTTCCAGGCGATCGCCGGAAAGCAGACATCACCAGACAGCAGAACGCCATTTTTTTCCCCTTATTTATAAATGCATGTAAATGCCAGAAAACAAATTTACACTAACTTACATTATGTTAGTAATAGAACTGGGAATTTGTTACGTTGGTTTATCCCTTATTACTTTGATAGTAAGGTTCTCACTACATGTTCTAGTGTGGGGTAGCTTTTACTTAATGCACATAGCACTTACCATAACCACAACAAAAATGTTTTACTCAACCTTCCTCTCACCTTAGGAGAAAAACAACCTATAAACTAATATATGAAAACAACACTTCCACTGACCCACCTTGGTAAATCTTCTACCAGAAACATGCAACTGTTATTACCCCATACCAGCACATATAGTTCAAAGAATGTTTTGAGTTATTTTAGCAGTCAAATAACTCTCCCGGTCAAGCCCCCATGTTACGTTGGTTTATCCCTTATTACTTTGATAGTAAGGTTCTCACTACATGTTCTAGTGTGGGGTAGCTTTTACTTAATGGCCTTATTTGTCTAGGGTAATACTTACATCATGGCTGATCACTTGAGAAGGCCATTTTCTTTTCGCATTAAAAATAATTAATGTAATAACAATTAATATTTTTTAAGTCAAGTCACTCAGTAAGTCAATCAAGTACTCAATAAGTCAGTCAAGTCACTCACGTATCAGTAAGAAAGTCAAGTATCAGAAAAGTCAATCAAGCACCAATAAGTCAGCAAGTCACTCACATCACTCAGTAAGCATAAAGTCCTCAGTACAAAGTCATTGGGTTCAGAAATCAGTCAAGTCCTCGAAAGTCAGTAAAGTCACTCGTACAGCTTTTAAATTTTTTTCAGTAAGTCAATCATCAATAAGTCAAGTCATTCAGTAATCAGTAAAGTCATCTGTAAGTCAGTCAATTCACTCAATAAGTCTGTCAAGCATTCAAAAAGTCAATCGGGTAGAAAGTCATCATGTCTTTCAATAAGTCATTCAAGTCCTCAAAAGTCAGTAACCTCAATAATCGTCAAGTCTTCAGTAAGTAATCGTCACTCAAAAGTCATCAAGTCACTCAAAGTCAGCCAAGTCATCAGTAAGTCAGTGGTCATCAGTAAGTCAGTCAAGTCATTCAGAAAAGTCATCGTAGTCAAGTTATTCTAGTCATAAAGTTTTTCAAAGTCAGTCAAGTCATTCAGTAAATCAGCAAGCCTCAGTCAGTCAAGCCCTCAGAAAGTCACTCAGTAAGTCGTCAGTTCATCAGTCAGTCTTTAAAATCAGTCATTCGTCACAAAAACTTTTTTAACCTTTTTTTCTGTGTACAAATTACTTTTCAGTTACAGCACAGGTTATCTTTTATTAATTCTAAGATTTTAAGTGTTTATCCTTTCGTGCCACTTTCAGAAACCCTAGTTGGCTACAAGGGGTCATGATTGCTTGGCAGATACAAGAAAGAAATTTAAAAAATATCAAAACAAATTGACAAACACAGCTGCCTTGTAGGAGAGAAAGATGGACAATATGAATTTACAAAATCTGGATGGTGGGGGGGGTGTTGGGGAGTGGTAGGGGATGGGCCCCTGGTGCTCTACAAAAGGGGGCCGTTTGAGCAAAAGGAATTTTGTTAAATTAATTATAAACTGTTGCATAAAATTGTGCAGCAATTCTGAAAAATATGAATTGAAGTGGCAGGATGGACCCTTAAACCCCCCGGAGGTGAAATAAAGGGCCCCTGTAGAGGTAAAAAAATTAATCATTGAAAAAATATGGGGAATTATCATTGTAAATACGGGACCCTCGCCCAAACGATAAATTCGTTCCTGAGAGCTCTCGTTTTTCAATTTTTGTTAGTCGATTTAATTTTCTCTATAGAAATAATGGAAATCAAATTTAAATCCATGAGACACCCAAAAGTATTGAAAAAAAAATACCAAGAAATATTAAATTTTAATCATACAAACTGAAAAAGACTGTACAATTACATGACATTACCATTATTGAAGATCTGGTGTGATTGATGGATGGGAGGAGGGGGGACTGGGAGGTGTTTGTGTTTAGAAGGGGAATCCCCTTTCCCTTAGGACTTGAGGTGTCAATCCTTTTTTTGGGGTTTCTTCCCTTTTTTTTAATGCCACTGGACCACTTGAGAGTATGGCCTCTGTCACACAACATATTTTGTCCATAGGGCCGTACTTCCCCATTCTTTATGACATTTAAGTGTTTCACAAATTGTCAGTGTCACAATTAAAAACCCTTTTTCAGGGTTTTAATTTTTTCCCGCCCTATGTCCCTTTAATTCCCGCACAAAATTTTCAGTGGTTTTTTGTTTTTTTCCCAAAAGGGAGCCTCACAATGCCTTATCTGTTATTGCTGTTCTTGTGCTGAACAGCGGTTTAGTGCTGATGAAGGGAGCAAAAGATTTCGGCCGTTTGGACTAGTTTGGCTTTAAATTTGGGTAGGGTGGTACACAAGGGCGTGTGAGGGAGTGACCCCAAACCAGTCCAGGGGGGGGAGA